CGCAATTTCTTTGTGTGATATGGAGATCGATTATTTTTAATATGATCATTAATGTTACTGTACCTTGCTGTTTGTTTGTCACCATCCTAGTTCTCGCTTTGAGGTCGTGGCATTATATGGATTTGACCTTTGCATGAGGGTTGTCATTAATACAGCAAAAGACATTCACCCTTCCGGAACATTTGGTCTTATTCTCCTTGATCTTGTTGAAAGATCTCCACGTCAATCTTTCTTTTGTTAACCCTTTCACCCCTATGTAACTTTAGTAGACTCTACCATGCATTGATATGGAGGGGTCCATTATGGTCTACAGTGGTGAAAGGGTTAAAGTATTTTCCTAGTTTTATCGATGAAGGTTTCAAATAGGGTGTTTGTTGACATTTCGGTATTCCCTGTTTTTTTCACCCATATGGAGAATTTTTTCAATTATTGAACCTTGTGTGCTGGTGTTATGAGTAATTACGTTTGCTTGTATGGGGTTTGATATCCTCGGTACAGTTAAGGTCTTACATGTATGAAGATGGGTGTCAAGCGAGATATTCGCCGAAAAGTAAGAGTAAATAAAATAATGAGAGAGAAAATAAAATAAATCCCAAGTCTTTCAATTTGGGCAGCAGATCAAATAATTAGCTTTCCACTAAGCAGAAAACATAGACGAGAATCCCCGATTCCGCAAGAGGTTCCATATCTGTCGCCTCCTCGACATTCATTGTGATACAGCAGGCTTTTACCTCCGAATGTGAAGGGGATAAAGTATTAGTAAAGTAAAAGTATTAAAACATTTATATGATAAAATATCATTCAAACAGAAACGACCGAGATGTAGTGAATAGTCAGTGTAGAAAAGGTTCACCGCTGCAGAAAAGACGCGTCAATATAGAATATTGAAAATAGGTTGCAAGGAGAAGCAAGTACTCTTTACTTCATTACTTCTTTCGATAGATGGAGTGCTGTGGTGTGAATCCGGTAACCGCGACAACAAACGACTTCGACCTCACCCCCTGGCGGATTGGAGATGGAGCCTCCTTAAAGATACCAAAAGGATGCTGTATCGGTGTAACCGAGGACACATACTCCGCCTTCGCAAAAACAGCATGTACCGACACTGCAACTAGCGGCACATATCACTCTGATGTAAGTGTAATTGCTGTTCGTTGAGTTATAGCCTTTTGTTTTACACAATGAATGTCAAGTTGAATTTTCACTAAATGTAAGTCAAGCAGTACTTAAAAGAAGAAAGAGGAAGAAGAAAAACAAAACAAAATTAATAACATAGTAAGTTGACCAATTGGAATATCAGCGAAAATTAGGAACGGCGAATTACAATCTTTTGCGAGCATACTATGTTTAAACTGAACAAATCTAAGTACAGTTATTTCGTTGCTAGTAAACTCAGTGTGATAAAATACAAATGAAAAAAAAAATATATTCAATATCTATTATTACTATTCAAACGGTTTTGCTTTGAATATTTCATTCTTAAGTGGAAATTTGTTTTAGAAGTAATCTAATAAAGTATTATGTTCGAGAGAGGAACAGATGAGGAAGATTCTTAAATCGTAACTAAGTGAAACGACACTGTAGTTGCTACACACAATAGCAAAATCTAAGATGAGTTTAACCCAATAAAGGTCAAATACGTGATAAATCATGTCAAATATGGCGTGTGACTTACTGGGACTTGTGTGACAGCATTGTTTTGTTTTCATTCTAGGGCTGTTACGACGCGATCATGTCAAGTTTTGGATCTACTCTAGATATGATGGGATACATCTGCCTCGGTGCACTACTGCTGCAGGTATGTTGTACAATCATTAATGTGTCAGCCACCTGTTAAATCAATAAATTAACAAACAAACAACACAGACAAGAAAGATAACAAAATATCAACAAAATTGGAATTTAAAGCGAGAACCGGGGCAATGACACATGCAAAACCAGTCACTATAATGTACAGCATAGAACTTCTTAAAGCACGAAACTACATTTTTCTCAACGAGAACTTGTTAATGACATCAAAATAGGTAAAAACACAGTAAGTTGCCTGTCGGTCCTTTAATACTAATTGGCTATATATATCACATCCCTGACCTTTAAACTGGTTGAAGTTAATTTTCAAAGGTCATCCTCCAAGGTCAAAGGATGTTCTCCTCACCTCAAAGGCTCTGTTTTCGCCACATTGTGGATGACACAAGTAGATTAATGTGATCTTTTGATGTAAATATAAAGAATCACACAAACGCATAACGGTTAAATTGATCAGATTTGGATTGTTTCCCTCTGTAATCTTCCAAGGACAGGTATCAGCC